CATAAAGAAAAAAAAACAAACAAACAAAAAAAAAAAAACAACAACACTGTCCAATTACAAGCATGACTCTTACACTGTCCTATTAGTGCTTAAATTGGGCTGGTGATAACCAATCACGTTCCAAAAACTATGAAAAATAAAGGATACAACATGCGCGACTCAATATGATGTATGTGGACAAGAGGAGGTTCTACGGCTCAGTTGGTGTGGCTGAGTGGTTCCATAACCTCTGCGCACTTTGATTCGACATACTTCGCTCGATCATCCAGTGAGTTACGCAAGAATCAACTAACAGACTGCAAATACATTCTATTGTCACCTTTTTTATACAGTCTCGTACATTTTACATAAATTATTCTCCTGGGCAATCCGGCTTGATCTTCATTTCAGCTTTGGTGATGGGTGCATCTGGGACTTTACCCCAGTTATCCTATCATATACCATTTTACCACTACTAGCAAAGAACATGATGGCCTTACTGAACCTTAGGGTACTTCAAGTTAATTTCAGTACAACGGTGAAGACTAAAAACAGTTACAGGGTAGTTGTACATGTGATGCAGAAGGGAAACGCGCCCTTTCGACTTGCCGACAAACGATACCGCTTTGACTACGCTACGTTGACGATACATTTACCGCCGTGCGACAAGGCGAAATCAACACATTCCACCACCACCTTAATGGACAAAACAATTACATACAGTTTACCAGAGAAGTCGCAGAAAATGATAAACTACCTTTCCTAAACTGCCTGGTAAGCCGTGACGACAAATCATTACGGACAACAATTTACAGGAAACCGACACATACCGACAGATTACTGGACGAGTCATCTTACAATCCGATATCACACAAATCCACAACTATCAGGACTCTGCATACTAGTTGCGATGGCCTTAAGATGACATTGCTAGTTACGGCACGCATAGTATCAAATCTGGCGCCGCTTCAAATCCTGCGTGTAGGAGTATTTCTCCTGATCTGCTGGACATGCACGCCGACTGGAAATGTGCCATTTCAAAGAACAGATACATTAAGCACACTGTTAATGATCGCTTAAAAGTTGCTCGATCTATTGCTCTTTAGTTTTGGATTTCGTTTTCTTACGATAAATTATTGAATTAGTAGTCTCGGCGGAGGACTAAGTCGTGCCTGGCCCGCCCCAGATTTCCTATCCGTTTTTCCCACAGGGTTTTTTAGGATAGGTTTTTTCTGGCCTCCTGGCACGGCTTTCTCCAGTTTACATTTTCAGTTTTTCTTTTTGTAGACGTTACTAGTATCTGATTTAATAGAGTGGCGTTATGGTGTTACACTCGGGCCATAATCCAATATTCTCCATGAATTGCCGTTTTGCTGTTTATCGTTCTACAGACTAGGTTAGTGTAGAAAGTGCGTTGGAAAGTACAAACGCAGTGTTTCACTTGAGGGCCATAAGATCCTCACGGAGCTTGTTTTTCATTGTTGTCAGACGGTGTATCCTGTCCAGTCCCAGCAAAAATAACCAAAGGTTACCAAACCCATTCTTGTTATCAGTCCAACTACGGTGGAAAGCAACCGAGCCTTCCAGTCTCTTCTGAAACACTGTCCAGCACCCCCCCCCCCCCCTAACCGGACCGGCTGTTGTTTGGTCACAAAAGACTTTAAAAGCACCTGAACCATCAGGGTCGATTGTATAAACACCGCTGCTTGTTTTACCAGATTTTTGAAGCTTAGCTCAATTCTTCTTAACTGCTGGAAGAAAAGGTAAATTCATCGTAAGATTTAAGCGAAAGCAACCCTATCTAAATTGACAGATTTCTGCAAGAGCCTGTCCGCGAACCAACTTAAACCTTTGCAGGTAACATGACAAGCATCTTGATCTTGCAATTAACGGAAAAACAAAAGAAAACTTTTTGGAATTATGAAAAAGAATAATTTTAGTAGAGTTGTCTTGAGTTTCAGCAAGTGTCTTGTTCCTTTGATAGCAGCAATTTCGTTTTGGATTTCTGGACGTTTCTTTTGCATTTCTCGGAGGAGAGTTTCTGCGAATTCATTGGAAATATAAACGGTAAGTCATGAGCAAAAAAGGTTAAAATCCATAGGCTATCCATTATTATCGAAGCAGCATTTCTAAACAAATGGAAAGGAAAAAAATGATAATCGATTGTGTAACTATACCTCGCGATAAAGCGTTGTTTCTTTCTTTGATGATGCTGATGTCATTTTGAACGTATGGAAGCTGTTTCTTCATTTTCTGATGAATTGTTTCGATCTTCTTGTTCGCCGTGCCTAAAGAGAGGCTGTTATAGACGCTATCATAATGCTTTTTGGGCCAGGAACTGACTGGAGTGCCATCAGCACCGTTTCCTGCTAAGCAGATGTTTGACTCATTACAATAAGAAAAGCAAACTGCAGCAAAAATCGGGCTGCGGCCTAACTATAGATAACTTGAGGTCATTATGGACTAGTGAAAACGCTGATGTAAACCATTTTGACACAACCTGTTGTGTGTGTCATTGAAATAACTGCGAGCATTTTTTTCTTGTTGTACCGCTCCACGCGCCCACTATTAACGTCACTGATTTCAGTGACTGAAAAATTCTCTCGTCCTCGACTTGAAAGAGAAGATTTTTCTATTAAGCAATTAGCAGATTGATATTTAAGAATATTGAAAGTACACTTTTGGTCTGAATAGTGGCTGGGAATGGATCTGTTTTCTATTATTTATCTCGTGCGTCGTTTGAAAGCCATGCTCCTGCTGAGGCCTTCATTCTGCACGATGAAGTCAAAGCTGAGGGTCAGAATGAAGGTTGCTTCATTGTAGCTACCGGAATATCGAAAAGTTATCTAAGTGCCATAATGAATGAAAATCGTAGCCCTTACTAACTTGCCAAACTAACTTAAAACACACATCCTTTCGTTCATGATTTCCCTATCGTTATTAAATCTCTGCTTTAAAGAGAGGAGTAATTTTTCATATCATTCACATATTATTCATATGACTGTGTCGGTCTTTGTCTCTAAGCCTAGCGGCATGCCAGGAGCAATTCACAGCCAGTTCTATCCAGCAATGCGAAATGCCAAAAACATTCAAACTGTCGAATGTGGTATGCACCAAACGAAATTTTTCAACAAATTTCCTAGCCTTTAATACTCAGCTTAGACTTAATTTGAATTACATATCTTCCTGTTGTCTACCATGAATTTTTATCGGCTACATTACATTGTTATCGCTTATTCGCATACAGGTATTTAATCCACATAACGTTGTGTACTGATTCAGCCGATGGCTCAGTCAATAATTTATTCTCTTATATGTTAGGCGCTGATGGAACAAAACGGAGATTAGTTTACCTTGTCGGACAGAGTGACAAATATTGAGAGCGTTATATCGTATTAACCTACTGCGATCATTTTCTTTTGAATAAGTTGAAGTCTCTCCGCTAAATAGTAGTAATATTCCTTTGAATATTTCATGTCTCTCTCGATCCATTATGTAAATGAGCTTCTACTTCACTAACGCTAGTTTCTTCTTGATTAGTATTACTTACGTGTTGCCATTTTTACGCGCTCTCTAATTGACATGTGTCAGATTGTGACAGATGCTTGTTAAAAAGGAAATGTTTCAAAGTTTTTTTGGAAGCCTTCTGAATTACCTTTATCTGCTACATAAATAAAAATTTTTCAGTGAAGCTTCTCTCTTTAGTTTCTATTACCCCTCTTTCTACCACCATTTGCTTACTCAAAATTGTTCAGTTTAGAGCTATTCACCAGTCTAGGTCGGTCCGTATTGCGAAAAAACGTGCCCTCTTTCTTGAGTGCCACAAGACTTTAGGCACAGTTTTTCCCAATACGGACCTCTCAGCTGGGTAATAACAGTCATTTATTCATCACTTCATGGGTTTGTTCGGAACCAAATTAACGACAAGCTCCCAGTTTGCTTGTTAGCTCAGTTGGTAGAGCATTGCATCGGTATCGCAGAGATCATGGGTTCAAATCCAGTAAAAATGTTTAGGCCTTATTTTCACTACTGCTTAAGTAGAGTTCATTAGTGCAAAGATCGCTTTCATTTCACGATGTCAACATTACAATCGCTTTCGGCGTGAAGATGTTAATTCAGTTATAGCGTTTTTAGCATTGAAGCAGCCAATCCCAATCCAAAAGACCAGGAGTTTATTTTCAATTATCTTCTTTATCAAGACAGAAAATTTGTCACCAGTTTTATGGAGAGTTTCTTTGAACTCCATGCTTATTGAGATCGATTCCTTGATTAAATATGAGGCAAGCGTTAAAAAGCCGCCATTTTGAAATCCGTGTTCGTTCTCGTCAACTCGTCCAATAAATGAGTATTGAAGTTTTTTTTTTCTCTGTAAGGCATTAAAACCGATGGAAAAAAAGCTTGGTTGGGAAAATAACCCTCATAACCCTTTATCATTTTATCTGCTTTAAGTGCATATCAGCCAAGTGGAAACCCCGAATGTTGAAAACTAACTGCTGGGTGATAATGATCGACGTGCAAAGTTCCCGCCAAAACAGCTTGGCTCCTCTGTAAAATCTGCAAAAAGCACCATTTTATATTTTTATTTGATCATGATTATTTTTTCATCTAAAAATTTTTGAACTTATGGAGATAAAAAGTTGCATTCGGTGTCTCAAAATTATTCATAAGTCTGGCTAGTTTAAATGCCTTATGACGCACGATAAGTTTTTTCATTTATATGTTTTTTCTGTCGGTCATAAATTTTTAACTTGGGTAGCAATTATGGAGATATGTCTATTACAGTGGCTGCCAAACCTTGAGAACCATTTTACCACTCTTCCATGTTTAATGGACATCAATGGAAGCTTAAATGGTCTCTAAGTGTGACCTCATGCAGTGTCAAACAGGTTGAAATATAGCTGCAAGGTATACTATTGGATCGAAAAAGATCTAAATTGTGACATATGTTGGTAAAAACACCTGTTTCCTTTATGTTTATTCCAACGTTAGAAAGTTGAATATATTCACATTTTGTCTTGTCTGCTGTGGCAAGCAAAAGACTTGAGGTGGGTTGAACTACCTTTTTCTTATCACGACTTTTACTATTTATTTATTTTTATGTTTTAAAATACTTTGTTCTCGCGAGAGCTCACCAAAGCTGTCTCTAAGTGCCAAAACTCATCGAGATTCAGCAATTTGAGTGACCAGTGGGAAACTTGACATTTCTTCAAATGAAGAACATTTTAAGCTTTTGCAAGACTCACTTAAATTATCCCGTGGGAAATGACATGTGTCAAAAATATAAAATTTAAAAACTCAACAACAATTATAAAAATATAACAAGGTAAGTGAATGAGATTTTCTTATTTCTTGAACGTTTTTCCCTTCAGTTTTTCCATGTCGAACTCCTATCTGCTGTTTTCAGTAGGCTTTATTCAGACCTTCAATTTACATTTTGGTCAGGTTTCGTGAGCATCGTTTGCGTAGGTAGCAAGATATGACATTTTGCACGAGACAAGTTATAAGGCATCTGGTTGTAATTTTTGTTCATTGCATTTTCTTGGTCACGAAGCATAGATTTTCTGAAATGAGGTCTTATGCTTCTATTCTTTTTAAGTTTTTTTGGACCAGTAAGAGAAAATAATGAGATCATTTTCGCTTGGTTAATAGAAATAGCCACTGCTATCACGGCCTCATTACAATTGACTCATATGCCAAAACGCATACAATAATAATAATTATAATAATAATAATAAAAAATAATGATAGTGAAAAAGGTAAGAAACGTTCTCTGGTTAAAAAGGTTTTAAAATATGAGTTTTCGGCTATTATACTATAGCCTTTAACGAATGTAAAAAATATGAGCGCGTGAATGGAAATATATACAGGGGAGGGTGTGAAAAAATTAAAAACTAAAAAATACAATAGAAGTGTGAAAAGCTAAAAAATGGACAATAGAACAAAATCAAATTACAATAAGATAGAATATTGTCTTGGTAACGGTTTAGAGTTATTGTCTGCGCCGACAGTTTTTGCGGTATGCCAAGATTCTAGTGTTTTTCGAACGCGGTAATTGCCTTTGTCTATCACGGTAGCACCCTCAAAGTCAATCGCGTGATTGTTTTCCCACGCATGGTTGGCAATGTTCGAGCCACTCGTATAGTTTTTAAGATTTCGTTGATTTTCCTTTCTTCGGGTTTTAAAGCATCTGCCAGTTTCTCCTACATAACTCCAACAGCAGTCAGAGCACGGAATTTTGTAGACAACATTGCATTGTAGATCTAAGGGCTGCCTGAACTTAGGTGACGGAAATTCTTGTTGCAGGGTTTTAGCTGGTTTGCTAACCACACGAATGTCATTTTTACGAAGTAATCTGGTAAGGGGCTCAGTCAGGCTGCTGATGTAGGGGAGACAAGCGAAACCCAGAGATGTGTCTGATGGATCGGCCCATTTGAAGAACATGGACACTAACTCTTCTGGTGGAGGAGTTGTCGGAACTGACTTCTTTTTTAAAATGTTGGAAATAACTATTGATGGGTAGCCATTAGCTTTTAAGGCTTCGGTAACGTGGCTAGTCTCGCGTCTCTTACCTTCAATGGTGCTCGGAAGGTTGGCTGCACGGAATAGAAGGGTCGAGGCCGCACAGACTCCTTTTTAGTTTTTAATTTTTTCACACTCTCCCCTGTATATATTTCCATTCACGCGCTCATATTTTTTACATTCGTTAAAGGCTATAGTATAATAGCCGAAAGCTCATATTTTAAAACCTTTTTAACCAGAGAACGTTTCTTACCTTTTTCACTATGTCATATCCTGGTTACAGTTCAATTTTTAAAAATAATGATGATGATAGCTATCATTATGATGATGATAATGAAAATAATGATAACAAGTCTGATAATAGTAATAATGATAAAGCCACATCCTCAAAAGCAGGTTTAACTCTCTCCTTCGACTATCATTTTGCACTTCGGCTCATTTCCCCAATGGAAGTTTGGTAATAACTTGACAATTAATCTGTTGATGAAAAGAAAGGCTTCCATCTACTGGCCGCTTTGGTTTTAAAAAAGACGTTTTGCCTTGTGCCATAGCAAACAAACGATTTTACATTTATGTAACTTTTGTTCGAGGAAGTGGACGAACATCCAATGAACAGAATGCTAAACACACATTGGCTTGGAAACGCTGGCAACTTCTTCATGCTGTTACTTGTTACCAGTACTATAAGCAGCCTTTCATCCGAGGAAAAGAGCAACAGATGCAATAGTAAAAGTGGTTAGTAGCAACTGCATATTTGTTTACAAATCTAAAGATACATACTTGATCCACAAATCAAGTCTTTGTAATGAAGTTACTGATTGAGTCATCGCTATGATTGATTTAGGTTACCTCGAGGACCACGCTTTTAATTTTCTTAAACTTTTCCGTCTAGTGATACCTGAAATGGATATCTTCTCAAGTCCGCCAAACCGCACATTAACAGTAGGTGCAGATATTAACTTGACTTGCATAGCGTGGCCAAGGTATGACCACCGGCTTTATCCAAGGAGATGGACCAAGTATATTCAGTGGTATGATCCTCAGGGCAGATCAGTTGGAGCCAAATGCCTGCAGGGTACATCACAAGTCATAAAGCTACGCTGCACATTAATACTCAAGAGGTTGATTAAGGAACAGTTTGGAAACTACACTTGTGAGGCTCAGAATGATTATGAGGGATACTGCAGGCAAAAAGTTGTCGAAATTGAGCTGCAAGGTAGGCAAAACATATAAAGTAATCACCTCGAGAAGCAATAAGGTAATTGATGACATGAGTTAAATCGTATAATAGGGTATTGTTTGTGAGCACACATTTGCGTAGAAATTTCATAATAAAGTAAAAATTGGCAAATGCGGTGCCGGCATAAAGCTCATTCTAATCTGCCGGTCTTTAATCATACTGACTGACTCCAATTAAAGTTTGGCAAATCAGTGATAAGTAGAAGAGTAAAAATTTTTTATTTTCGAAACAGCATTAAAACTATAAAAGCTTAGTTTTTCGTTTGTCTCGCGATGTAGTCACGTGTGATGTAGATCTCGACGTTTCGACTGCATACTGCTAATCTTCTTCAGGCGATGAGGTCGACTGATTATGCGTGATCTTATAAAGTATGATGCTCTGCTGTGATTAATTATTATTCAAAAGCTCTGATTGGTGCATTTCGATCCCTGCTGTTCACTTAGTGATTTGGTTCCTCGGCGGTCCGCTATCGCACGGCTCTCCTGTTGTTGTGTTTTTTGATCGTGGGCATCCACGCCTCTGGAATTTCTATTCCACTATCCCTATTGATGTTGTCATTCATTGCTCGCGGAAACCACGATGTATCTCATTTCCTGCCTTCATCTGTTTATTACTCTAATTCGCTCTCACCTTACGAAACAAATCGCATATCGTCTTTACAATAGCGATTTAACTGACAATAACGCAACGTTTTACCAAATGGTACCTACCTTCCTGGGATTTTTTTTTCACTTTCTCACAACCCCGCCATCTAAATCAGCTTTCTTGAAAATATTTCATGTTAAAAATAATACTAAGTTAAAGTGGAAAACGTGGTGACAAGTGGTTTGTGCACTGAATTGTGCGTACTAAAAATTTGCTGCGTATTGGTACTTATCTTCCATGGACTAACTACCATATCTAAGAGAAGTCAGGGTGCTCTAGTGGATAAATAACATGGATAGAAAAAAAGACAGAAGCATGAGCAAAATTGATTGGACATGATAGAACTTCTATAAGGCGTGAGATTACTATTTCAAGATATCTTTACCGTGACGAAGGTCGCTTTATCGCTTTAGCGTTTCCTTAATTGCCTACCTTCCCCGCTTTACTTGATCTTTACTCACTGACGGCTTCTCAAATTTTGCTTTCTTTCTTCAAAAAAAATATCCATCGTCATCTGAAATTGCCGGTGTAAGCTTCCCTGGCACCAGAGATTGTTGAGGATCCTAAGAACCAAACAGTTGACGCTGGTTTCAACGCAACCTTTGACTGCGCCGCCATAGGTCATCCCATGCCGTCTATCACATGGATAAAGAACGATGACGCACTTGCTGTACAATCTTACAACCGGAATAGAGTAGCTGAGATTTTCCTCGACGACGAGCAAATCCATAGCCAGCTGGTAATAAAGGGTATAAAGAGGGAAGATAATGGAAAATATTACTGCTTTGCAAATAACAGCGCGGGAGAAAAAGCATCAAAGCCGGCATTCTTGACCACAAAGGATCTAGGTGAGACAAATGCTCTATGTTTCTCTATGACAAGTGGTTTTGTGCACTGAATTGTGCGTACTAAAAATTTGCTGCGTATTAGTATTTATCTTCCATGGACTAACTACCATATCTAAGAGAAGTCAGGGTGCTCTAGTGGATAAGTAACATGGATAGAAAAAAGACAAGCTTGAACAAAATCGATAGGACATGATAGAACTTCTATAAGGCGTGGACTTACTATTTCAAGATGCCTTTACTGTGACGAAGCTCCCTTTATCCCTTTAGCGTTTCCTTAATTACCTACCTTCCCCGCTTAACTTGATCTTTACTCACTGGCGGCCTCTCAAATTTTGCTTTCTTTCTTCAAAAAAAAAATATCCATCGTCATCTGAAATTGCCGGTGTAAACTTCCCTGGCACCAGAGATTGTTGAGGATCCTAAGAACCAAACTGTTGACGCTGGTTTCATCGCAACCTTTGACTGCGCCGCCAAAGGTCATCCCATGCCGTCTATCACATGGATAAAGAACGATGACGCACTTGCTGTACAATCTTACAACCGGAATAGAGTAGCTGAGATTTTCCTCGACGACGAGCAAATCCATAGCCAGCTGGTAATAAAGGGTATAAAGAGGGAAGATAATGGAAAATATTACTGCTTCGCAAATAACAGCGCGGGAGAAAAAGCATCAAAGACGGCATTCTTGTCCACAAAGGATTTAGGTGAGGCATATGCTCAATTTTTCTTATCTTGGCATTAAATTTTGTCATGAAACGACCATTCCTTCCGAGAGGGCGATGAAAGTACTTGAAAGAAATGCTTTCAAAAGACACTAACAGAAAGTTTTTTAGAACAGTTCACTTGAATACTGGACATATGTATCACAAAGAGCAGCGCTGAGGAAATAGCTTCCAAATCTCACGTTCCTGTTCATAAAAAGTTAGATGAGGTTGTATGTTGATACTACGCTTTGCATTCATTTTCCTTGAGGGTCAATCATGTAGCAGAACTCAGTATGGATTTTACTCTATCTAAATTGAAGAAAAACATCATTTTTGCCGACTGAGCAATTAAATGAAAGTTGAAAATTAATATTTCCTCGCTTTATGCAAATCTTAGCAGGCAGATAATCAGGTTTCAGTTTTTCACGCTATGAGATGAAACGACCAGCAGCACCATATAATGCACTTAATAGTTCCATGCAGTGTTCAATCTCACTGTTTTTTCATTGTTCTTCTTATTTCAACAAGCTTCTTCAAATACAGTCCCGCCAATAAAGGAACAGCAACGTTCTGTTCCCCTGGTTACTGCACTTGGTGTGTGTGGTGGCGCAATACTTGCATTCATGAGCGGATGCATTATGGCGTTTTTGTATCGACGTGCAAGAAGAAATCATGAGGTAACACTTGTTGAGTGCAATCGAACTTCATAGCAACTAAAAGTTAACTTGATCAAACGCCCACAAAACTGTTTTCTAACTATAATCGCTGTTAAATAAAATTCGTAAGAATACTCAAAGCGGAGAATAAGCAATCGTTTTTGTTTTGAACAGTTGGGCATTTCGATCGCCAGGGCATTTGTAACGATGTTTAACTCCTTAAAACTGCTCTCAGTTGAACATGTTGCACTTCTGTCTGTATCAATATCAGGGCAATGAAGGTGCGGAAGAGATCTATGTGGCCTGCATAGACAACAAAGATTTGGCTGAGGTGATACTGAAAAATATGAATGCTGATACGGAAGAAAGTGAGCTTTTAGAGGTAAATGCTATCACTCCGTTGTTAGTTGTTAAAAATAACAATGACAATGTGCAACTAAACAATAAAAAGCATACGCATGACGACTGGAGAGTTGACTCGATACCGAGAGTATCGTCTGAGGAAAGAAGGACTCCGACTCCACTAGATGTCGGAGATAAACATTTCCTAAATTCCATCTCTGATCAAAAAGGCTATGCAGAAGAGTTGTTTAACTCACGAAATGGTCACCAAAGTGTCGAAGATGGCTGTGGTCACCGTGATGTCAACATTATTTCGTATCAAGACAGTGGGATGGATAGTGACAAAGATAGCGACGAAATACAAACATCTCTCTTCACTGAGATAGAGGAGAGCGAAAAAAGCCAAGGTACTCTCGAAGTACTCGATGAGGTACTAGGTGAAGGAGAATATGGAATCGTTTACAAAGGTCGCTATGGTGGAAGGAATGGTAGCATTACTGATGTTGCAGTAAAGAAGTTGAAAGGTATGCATAAGGATCCTATTCTATTGGCTTAAATCTTTACTCAGTTATTGTTTTCTCGACAGTGTGGGCGGATCAGTAAATAAAATTCGATTATACGTATTTTTGGGACTATTGTATGTTACCCCATTGCAATCTGAATTCTTAAACGTAATATCTGTAGCAAGGTGTTTAGACTGGCAGTGTATTCTCAGTATTCTTCGTTTTCTTTGCATTCCACGTACAACACAACGTAACTAACTAATGAATAATTATCACCTTTGTTTATTTTTTTTCTTCAGGTAATGCTTGCACACTTGCGAAAGCCGCGTTGCTGAATGAGATAAGAACGTTGAAACAGGCTGGACGACATCCCAACATTGTCAACCTAATTGGAACATGGATTCAAGGAGGTGAGACTTATTTCGACTATCCAAATAACATTCTTGCTAATCTACGCAAAAAATATGTGTTTATTCATGTGATGAAGTTTACAGGGCAGGGTAATCAGGTTGCAAGAAAACTCGATCTCGCAGAGATTCTAAAGACGAACATCTCCAAGGAACTATGTAAAGAATTATGCAAATGAGCTTTGAGACGAGCACAATTCAGCAAACACATGGATTTGTGGTGTTTGTCAAGATGTTAGTGAATGAAAGTTAGACAGATACCTGCGGGTTTGAGGCAATCTGCGACTTCATTGGAGTATATGCTACGCACTTGCCCCGATTTACGCCTGAATTTTGAGAATTCTCTCATACAAATCGGTAAATTTTTGATATGCAAATATTAATTAAGGTCGAAGAGGTCTCCTCAGGTAACGCTGTAATGGAAAATATTTCAGGTGAAGTTTCCATCTTTTGTCTGTACACTGACTGAGTACATCATACAATTTGTAGCGAGAGCGAATTCCGTGAGCTGTATTAATGCAGTCGCTTCGCGCTGAAGAAAATCTGTGAAATTTACACTTTCGATCGCTGTCCACACGGGTGGTGTGGCCAAAATCAATTTTAGCTTGCGACCACGCAAAAAGGGAATAGGAGAACAAATAAACTACTTTTGAAATATGTGTCCTAAACCTTTTATTATGGCAAGTAGTGAAGGAAAACTTTTTTTCCGACGGGAAGTAGAGAGGACCGCTCTCAGCGAGAGCGCTACTTAAAATTGCAAACTCATTTTTTTGTCTTTATCTAATCTACCAAAGGTATATGGTAACTTTTGCAAAAATGATGCCGCCAACCCGCGGTACTCCCTAACGTGCATGCTTATGGCTGGTTTGAGGCTGCTTTCTCCCGTCGTCGAGTTCCCATCAATTTGTAGCAGCAAATTTGTTCCTGATAGCCAACTTTTCTTTCCTCAGAGACAATTCTTGTCGTCACCGAATTGGTCCATGGTGGTAGCCTTAAAAGCTTTTTGAGGTGCAAGGGTGAGGGAGGTAGCGAATATGCGAATGTGCACTGTAAGCTGAATGACCGACAGCTGCTTAAAATTGCTCTACATGTGGCCTTGGGAATGAAACATTTAGAAGAGCAGAAGGTTAGCCGGATCTTTTCCTAGCGAAGCTCTTGATGAAAATTTAACTCAGTTATTTATTATTCGAGAATATTTGCACGATAGAGAATCGATATGGTAACTTTTTTTTTCAGTGCATTCACCGCGACCTTGCCGCGAGAAATGTTTTTATCGATCCAAACATGGTGGCAAAAGTCGGAGACTTTGGATTAGCAAGGGAAATCACAGAGGATGGATTATACATCAAGACCTCATGCGTAAGTACTGCGCCACTAATTGTTACTTTTCTAACTACTTTTACTAATACCGACTGTATTAAATTCTTTCCCTCTAAACCAGACAGACAAATGGCCCCATATATATCCTGCCACAATTGATTTCGATTACCTTATTTATGATCTATGGTATAACTAACATTCAGACAAACGGATGGAAAATCCTCAGATTGGCGCAGTGACTTGTTGGCTTGTTCATTCCAGTTTATACAAGCTAATGTTACAAGATCATGCACACCTCCCATTTTCACAGGGTAAAGTTCCATGGAGATGGTCGTCCTTAGAATCTCTGCGAGATCGAGTTTATACATCCAAGAGCGATGTGTAAGTGACACGAAAAGTAGTATACAAAGTTGTTATATCCCCGATGCAAACGTAGAGCATCTTGGAACGAAACCGTTTTAGGATTGTTCCAAGCCAGGCTTGATCGCATTGTCTGAAAAGCCATCGTCAAAAATATGTAGTGTTCAGTGTCAAAGCATGATAATTAATGACTCTCAGACACTTTCAACTATAATTGTTGGTTGTTATTGTTGTTTCTTTTTTCAGCTGTAAATTTTCAAATAGAATGGGAAGGGTGGTAAGTTTTACGCTCGGTAGAAAGCTCTGATCCCCATCAGGATTCGAACCTCAGACCTGGGGGACTACCCATGGGGAATTTTTCCTTTGTCCCAGGCTCGTGATAAGACGAGAAACCTCTTTCTCTATTTTCTTAACATGTGCACCCTGAAACTAAAGGTTCTAGAAATAGAAAACCACTGAATAGCCACTTTTGAGATGTGGCCAAAAATGCGTGAAAACGTATTCCTCATCTAATGCAGCAGCACAATACCCCCAGGAAAGGATAAACTAACCTGGTTTCACTACTAATTAACGATTGTAACGATGTTGTACAGAGATTTCATATACCAAAATTACAACAAATAAAAAAAAGAAAGTGGTCAAGACTGACCAACCTTGAATTACTTAATTTTCCCGCAAAACGCTAAAATAATGCGAAACTTCCATAATGCCACGCGAATCTCTTCAACTTGTAATCGGAATATTAATTTCAGACAAATTCGTTCCCATGTCAATCAAGCGTCAGCAAGTATATACTTAACTGAAAATAGGTCATCAATCGTTGCTTTTTGGCGTGTTTTTTTTTCCTTTTTTCGCCCATTTGAAGGTGGTCGTTTGGCATATTACTTTGGGAAATGGCAACTTATGGTAGGTCATTAAATATTTGATGAAGTAGAAATGTCATTATAAAAGTGAATGCTGACGACGGGAAAAGAGTCGGGGATGCGTACAAATTCACATTGGTTCCAGAATTCCAAAATACTTTGTTTTATAGCCTGGGAGAGGTTTTTGAAGGGGGGAAAATTAGGCAATTTTTTGAACATTAATTAAATAGTATGTCATTCCATAAGTCAATCACGCTGGATCAAAAACATTATTTTAATAAGTTGAAATATTCTAGGAACGACAATAATTTTATCAAGTTTCATTTACAATTTTGAGCTCACTGGCTATATGTCAACAGATGTGTCAGAGGGATAGACACCTTAAAGCCACATAATCAATTAAGCTCAAGTTACTGTTGTTAGGCAAAGTCTCTTATTAGTTATTTTGCTTCACAGGTGACTCACCATACCCTGACATTCCAACACCACTTGCCTTGGTAAGTCGGCTTTCTACGGGCTACCGGATGTCACGTCCTCATCAATGCTCGGAAGAACTGTAAGCTTCTCGATCATTTTCAAGCATGTGTATTTATGTGTTTACATTTATTCTATCA